CCGCGAAGCGCGCTGGGTGCTTCCTGGCGGCGTCTGTGCGAGCGACGCCTCGCCTTTACCCTGCGCCTCCCTTCGAGGGGATCCTGAGGGGAGCGTCTCAGCAGGGGGCCTGAGGGGGAGGAGGGTCGCCATCGAGAAAGATACGCTCGGAGAATCGACTTCAAGTTAGGCGGCGCGGCAACGCGTCGACGACCCGCGATGTCCTCTTGGACTCGTATATCGCTTGCCCCAGCTTTAAAAACAAACACCAAAGCTACTCTTGCTTTCCACTAAATATCTTTCGTTCAGGCCAAATACCAGTTTCATTTCTGAGATTGGATTCCAAGCTCTCTGAACTTTATAAAAGAGAATGTTTCACTTTAGATCTGTTTTGCTTAGATATAATTATGTATAATTGTAAAATGTTAAATTTTTATTTACGTATACGATACGTAACGATACGACTTATGTCTTACTGAATATACTGCGGAGATAACTTTCTTTAGCGAGAGGTTTTAAAAAGTCACTCTTTTGACCTATGGAAATTGTAACACGATTACGCACGTATTTGGATCGCTTTTCATTCACTGCCACCAGTCAATTTGATCCCTTTACAAAATAACAGACTGTGATACATGTGATGTAGGGTAATTAATTTATCACGTAAAATCATCGAAAATACCCAACAAAAACACATGGGCACGAGTTCACAAGGGAATGTTTACCTTCCTCCACAACAGCGCGTATTGAGAGATTAAAGGGGAAAAATTAAGTCGGACTCGCGTCCCTTCAAAAAGCGATTCAAATTCCGCTCTTCAATATTCCCTCACTGTGATAATGTGCTCACATTATCTATGAAAAACTTGGGGTAACAAATCATGCGTTGTCGTACTTCAAGAAGATCAAGTAATGTAGCCAGATGCTCTGATCGGTAATTTTACCTGGTTTCTCAGATCAACACCAGGTAAATGCTGAAGCAGTTCCCTAACAAAAAGGTCACGGACCGCGCGCCATCTGTCCTTTCTCTTCCTTGTGCTCCTCTCGGTCCTTACATAAACACATTCGCATGCGCTAAGGTACTACACTGTCGGAAAACCAGTTGGGACCTTAAAGCTTGTCCCAACTGGGGCGGTGCCACGCTAGTGGGAGATATATTGTTGGGGAAAATTCCCGCACGTCGACGTAGATCAGTGCCGGATCTCGCCAGGTAGCGGGGGAATATCACAGCCCCCTTCCGCGATAAAACCATCTCTATACTAAAGGGATTAATGATCTTAATAGTTGACGCACCCGAATCATTAATCAGTCAATTCACGTCATGTAGCGTTATTTCAAGTAGTGAAACTAGTTTTTCTCGGAACAAACACAGTAAAGAGACACTAAATAAACACAATATATAAATATTACCAGACCTGGTCGATTAAAATCAATAGATTCGGCCAACAGATCAGCTTGGCTTTACGCCAATATTCTCGAAAAGTTTGTATTGCTTTCACCGGCAGGCGCAGTAATGTAGCGGCCAGACACGCGGAGGCCCTGTGGCGCTGGGTCAAGGGTTCGCGCTCGGTTGTGAGCATTGTCCTTTGGATTCCATTGGTGGGAGTAGAGTAACAAAGCACATCGCCAAGCGCCGTTGCGTACAATGCGAACGCGACTTGGTTAGCGGTAAACGCATAAATGACCCGTGCTAGGCCGCAGCTGTACCAGGGATGATCTTCACGTTAGGTCGTGAGGCAACATGGAATTATTGTTGCGTTTAGAACGCTTAGCGTTTGACATACTCGAAGTTAGTGGAAGGCAGTTTCTGTACTTCATAATATAATGGGAGTAAAAGAAGGAAGTCCATTGGATCTATTAAGAATGATGGAAAACTGTTTGTTTGAACTCACCCTCAAAAATAATTTTTTAATACGAATGTACTACAGTTAATCGTGACTAGTTGATTCACAATTAAAACGAGAATCCAGTATCAACCAAAGATATAATAACATTCCGCCCCAAAACAATAATTTTCATATACTTGCTCACGGTACCGAAGGGAAATGTATTTTGTCAAAGTCTGAACAAAATAAAGTGAGAAGCAAAATTCAAATATGCATATAGTGAATAATATTTTTAGAATGTGGAAACATTTATGAAAAAATATATTAAATTATATTACTTTTAGTAGAACTGTTTCTCATTATCAAAGCAAAATTTCGTACTTATCTTTCATGACCTTTAGGTCCATTATAGTCCTCTTGAGAAGAGATATATTTAGTTGACTTCTGCAATGGAAACATATCCCGAATAAATCTCCAGATAATTAATAATATGAATGACATTTTCTGCGCATCAATCTCGAAACATTAAATATATTCTGAAACAGACTTCTTTTGGGTCCCATTGTACATACACTTTTAACGAATACATGAACGTCAAACAAAGGTACGGCCGAGTCAGACGTGTAGAAAGTAGACCACAGCGCGTTTAATAATCTCCACAAGACCGCAAGGGAAAGAGTCCACCACTCACTCGCGCCCAGTTAACGACAGCAAAAAGGGATCACAAATTCTCGGGGGGGAGAAAAAAAGAGAAAGAGAAAACGCGAGGGAAAAAGAGGGCGGTCTCGACGGAGAAAGCGAGCGAAGGCGAGAGTGCCAGCAAGACGCGAGGGGTCTCAAGCGAACGCTTTCGCGCCTCGCGCCTCGCCGACGTCCGCGCCTCCACCCCCGCCCCTGCCCGCGCAACCGTCTTCGCTCCGCTCCGCCCTCGCTCCGCCGCAGAAGCTGCTGCTCCCGCCGCCGCGTCCCGGCCCCGCCACAGCTGTCCCCTCGCTTCGCAGCGCCTCCTCTCCACTTCAGCGCCGCCTCCGCCCCTGGCGCCTCCCTAAAGACGCAGAGCCCGGCCGCCGCCGCCGCTACCTCCCCCTCCTCCCCCTCCTCCTCCTCCTCCTCGCAAGACGCGCGTATTGATCGTGCCGCAGTCTTCTTGAGCGGCTGTGGAGCGCGCTGGACGCGCCCAGAACGCCGAATTGCCTCCCAAATGGCAATGGCCGCCACATCTCCATTATAACATTTCAGACCGAAAGGCTTAGGCGGCAGTAAAAGGAGGAAATTAATGGGAGAAATAACGCTCTCTGAATATATTTTATAAAATGAGACGATTTTTCTTACTGGTGTCGAGTGTGATAAGCTCTAAATAAAAAAAACAATGCAAAGTGTATTTTATGTTATACATACGACTAAGATAAAGCAATATAAAACTATATTTTCATAACCTCAAAGAAAACAAGAAAATACCTGAATTTAATTAATAATTAAGAAAAAAAGACTTTAAACAGTAGTAATAAGAAACTAAAAATGTCACTTACAAAACCGAAATGAATGCATTAAAGTTCTTAAAAATACGCAGGGTGAACACATCTCAGAAGTAATTATTTGCAAAAAAACTTTCTACTAATTATCAGTAAGTACTCTTTATAATATTATATCATTCAAAAAGTATTTTAGAAAACAGGTGAAAATTAACCATGCGCAAGGCCTAACCTACAGCATTTACGAATGTTTCATATAACGAGTTAGAGAAATAATGTATATTCAATGGATTTATTCAAACTATTCTGTGAATACTGAAACTATACGAATAAAAAACTATTCTTTTATAATAATATTTAAGAATAAACAGCAAATGTAACTCGCTAGATTATTTTGTTACTCATTCGTACTTGCCAGAAGTTTTCTAGATATTTCTATAAATCTTTAGAAATAGGCATTATGGAATTACGGTATTACGCGAAAAGCCATTGCACTAAAACAATTGGAAAACGTATATTAAGGTGAAACATGTTTTTTTGGGGTCACTAAATTTACGGATAGGTTTTCTTGAATTTTCAAATCAATACTCGCACACTATTCGAAACATCCTACACGCGAGTTCTAAAAACGTGTTGAATTTATTGCAAAAATTTCAATTAAGTGAAAGAGTTCTGTTGCGAATGTGTCAATTACCAACAGAATATTTACTTCGAATAAGTGTTATATAAACTCAAACGAAAACAAAAATTGTTGTAAAGTTTAAATAGTTTTTTAAATATTTATTTATGTAATAATGGTATAAATTTGATTAATAATGACATTATTGCATCGTCTAATAATAACAACATAAAATATTTTTAGTATTTGAAATATAAAAAACGCATCTAACAATTCTACGTTGATTGTATTATTTTGGTCTTACAATAATAAAATCTGAATTCTCTTAACATTCTTTCTTTGTTTTCTACAAGACCCAGTGTACTTTTTCTTCCAAGAAGCTTATAAATATTGCTTCAGTAGAAATGTACGTGAATACCTGATATAACGCAACAGTACTATGCAGTAGTTTCTAATTCATTTATACAAATACGCAAGAATCCGTCACTGAATTTCAAGTTGTTAATTGTTTAAGGGAATTTGATATTGATTTTGATTTTTTTACGAAAGATTATGAAAAAGTATTTAATAGATTTATTACAACAGAATCTATTTTAATAACATAAACAACACAAAACATGAATGACTGGACTTCTAAAGAGTTTAAAATACGTAGAGTGACGTATATATCTTTAGAGCATTCTGTTCATTCATCTTTCTCAAAAAGGAATTTGGGCCATTCTTTTAATGTTAAAAATAAACGGCACTCAAAATAGAAATAAGCACACAGTGCATTGGAGATAATGTTTCCTGTTCAGAACGAAAACAACCATTAGAGATATACAAAATAAACACAGTGTTGGTTAAGTCAGAGCACAAAATTTTCAAAAAGATCCACCTGATCTACATTTTCAGCATTCCAGTGTTTTGAAGTTTGTGTATGTGCAGTCTATTGCAGAAAATTTGTATAGTCTTACCACTTTCAGAAATACACGAAATAATTAACATATAGATACAGGAAGAAAATAACACATCACATTGTGACATATATTGAACTGAAATTAAAAGAAAAATAATCATATTAATAACAGTATTAATAAAAATGGGTACACAATATAAACACTGTACCTGGGAAAGCTCGTGAGAGATGATGCAAAATTGCAAGGAAATATTGCCTTGAAATGTTTTCAGTGACACCACGACAGATAGAAAGACGCCCCTCCACGGATTCTCAACCTTCACAGCCAATTGCTTAAGAGCGGCAAAACTGAATCCACCTGCAACAACCATCAAAAACATCAGGATAGTTGTACTCACAAATTTAAAACAATATATTTTATTTTTGCATTCAAACAATTTTTGAATTCTAATGAATGAATCAGATAATTTGCAATAATTAAAAATAACACAAAAAGCTACACGACTAAAAAAGTACATAAAAGTTGTGACAAAACATAATATTACCTAACAAGATTTTGCATATTTAAAAAAGATAGTCAACCACTTCAGTTATCACATCATATATAACTGTTTCATAAAAATGTGGAAAAAGACTGTCACTTGTTATGAACAAGTTTCATTACGTAGTGATATATCAGATAGAAATAAAATATTAGATATAGAAATATAATGAACGTAGGTTTGGGTAAAGTGGTGAACAAACATAGGAATTTGAGAGTGTATATGTTCATAGCCAAAGAATTACGTCAATTTACGTTCATTTAGAAGCCACACAAATATCTCTCCTGTACTAACCCCAACAAAGACAGCAACGATTCTGAATACTTCTAGACAGTTTTTCATCTCTTACCGATCTTTAATTTTAAATATATATTATGCAAAAACGTCGATATCATTTTTGTTCGTACAAATATCAAGGATAATCGCAAATGTTCTGTAAACAAGTGTTACTTAAACTATATATTAAGCCGAATAAATTCAATGAAGAATTCTATCAGCTTAAAATATAAATTACAGGAAATTGCTGAATTCTGAACAGCGCAATTCTTTTTCCTTTTTCACAAAGGAAAAATAATATACAATATTAATTTTTCTTATAGGAGGATCTATAATTTGTGATACCTTTTCAGATTTTGAACGTTATGATTAAAATAGTAATTCAATGTTCAAGGAATTAGTTTCCTAGTCTTTAAAATGAAAGCGCTTGCCAAATTATGAAATTTAATATAGTACGCACCAATAATATATTAACGGATCGGTTCACAGATATCATGGATTTATTAGTGTTATAATTTTCTCAATTGTGTACATGGTGCATTTTACGAGTAAATAGGGCTAAACTGAAATCATCTATCTTACTTTTAATCTTACATAAATGTTCAATTTACAGGAATAGTATTCAAATTTAAGTTACAAAATAAAGAAGCCTTAAAACTGATGAAAACCAATTTTTTTAATTTTAGTTGACTTAATATTTCGGATTTTTCACAGACGTGTTTTTCATGACAGGTAAATCGACATTAATTTCAAAATATTTTAACAACCTATGTATCAGGTAAAATAGCTCTCTAGTTACAATATTTAATGAGTAAGTCCATCTAAAAGACTTACGAACAAATGAGTAATTAAAATTTAATTTCATACCAGTATTCATCATTACCATGATAAATTACTTTCTTTTTAAGAAGAAATAAATTTGATTTGCGGGAATGCATCTATACACATAACTTCACACTACATCTTCATTTCTAAGAATTTTGAAGGGAATGATGAATTGTTGAAATAGTTAATATTGAATTTAAGTACAATTTTAAAGTAATTAATCCATTGTCAAACATTTACATTTGTTGATTTGCTGTTCGCGGGAAGTAAAATTATTTTTCTAGTTAATTACATGCTGTTGAAAGGCTTTCTATTCTCAATGAACTACATCCGTTAAAAGATATCCCGCTAAACCAATAGCACTAACAAATTGCCGGAGGCTCCAGTGTCAATTGAGCGGAAGGCTCAAGAAAGGCGCCGCAAGACGCAGCAGGTTCGTACGCATCGATCAGCGGCGCTGACAGCTGTACGATGCAACTCGCCCCCTCCCCCGCAAACGTCGGCCTCTGGAGCGGCATCCACTGCGACGCGGCAGCCTCTTTTTTCGCGCGCCGCCCCCTCCACCCACGCGTCTCTCCTCCGCTCTGCGCGCCCCCGCCGCCGTGGCTGCGCGGCGTCGGAATGATATTTATCACGTCAACACTAGCCTCCAACGTAGACCAATCGTTTTAACATGGGGAGTAGATTGGAATTATTCGCATTCGGGAATTTATGGAAGGGCGGGCCGCGGCCACCGGGCGACGCCAGTAATGAAATTATCGGCGCGGGATAAACCCGGCGCACGCCGCCGTAAAACGACAAGCTTTATGCCTTGGCAATCAGAAGAAACGCCACGCGCGCGCGCGCGCGCCGCGCAGCCAATTCCTACGCCGCCGTAAGAACAAACTTTCGCCAATTACCTGATAGGTCATTAGCTATGAAAGCATTCAGCCATTAACGCCGTCCTGTGTCCGCAAACGGGCTCCGCGCTACACGGGCTACGTGTGTGTCGGAGCGCGAACTGAAAGAGTGGTTCTTAAGCTGTGAACGATGGAAGTTCGATATTTTATTGCGGAGAGAGGGATACCCTTCCCGAAAGGCTTTCCGTTTCGCGTTCCATGGTAAAAATGTGAAATAATGCAGTAGGCTCATCCCGGTGGAAGTGCAGTAACAGATTTGTGCTTTTAGGGTACATTTATGTTTATACCATAGAATTCAATAACATATTTACGGATTTAGATACACTTTCTAAAGTCTTAAACACAATCGGAAAATAAAACACCTTGCTAAAAGATAATATACAACAATAATGTTTCAACTGTTTTCTTTGTAATTAAACTAATACAGAAGTGTTGGTGATAATTTATTTACAAATATATAAAACGGAGAAATAACTGAAGTCATCTTCGGCAACTTATTAAGTCAACTTCAGCTCTAAAATATTGACGAAGACGACTTTATTTATTTAAGCATTTAATTACGTAAAAACGCTCTCAAAAGCATTCACACTAATTTATAAAACGTTTGGATTCCTTAATAACCGTCAAACGATTCTATTAATAGTGAAATGTTCTAAATTTACGTTTCTTGCGTTAATACTCACTAGTAAAACAATATATAATTATCAATTACTGATAAGTTCACAATTGACAACGTTTTTCGTGAAATAGCCAAATAGGTTTTTACTGTAGTGTATACCCGGAAGAAGATAGTAACAACATTTAGATGCATGAAGCTTCCTCAAAATACTCCGGACCCTCCTATTAACGGTAGCAAGTTTGGGGGAACAAGTAGGCAAACCTGCTTTGCTAAGCGCGTTTCAACGGGTTGAAGAGAAGGAAACAGGGATCGAAGACTGTACAAAGTGATCTCGGGGTGAAAAAGCACAAAGATTTGATGCTCTCTTGAAACAATATGTCCTATTTTTGCGATCAATCTGTTAATCTTATAAATTAAATTTACCTCCTAAAACATTTAGATATAAACGTCTATGCAGTAAAATGTTCTGTGTGAGAGCAGCAAAAATATTTGAGGGGAGACTCTGAAGACCAGAGGACGAAACAGAACCGGTTTTATTTCTTGGTTACTAGTACGAGAGGAAAGAATTCATCCAGGAGACCGTTTCAGATTACAATCAAGTTGGGGGATTAGTGGAAACGTTCCACCGTCTTTTTCTGAATACCCTCCCTCGCGAAATAAAAAGAGTGATGAATAGTCACGTATACTACAGAGCCTGTCAGGTAATCATTTACCGTCAAACGAACAAACGTTAAAAGAGGCTAAGAAACATATTATTCAAGAGTTCTCTGCGAAAATACCTTACAGGAAGACCAGCAAACAAGGAGTGATTCCAACTTTATTTCACAAGGAACTGATTCAATCTAAAGTTCAATTAGAAGTGAAAAGGAAATTACAAAAACAATGTAACTTTTGCCAGACGCGGAAAGGCAGACGAACGAAGGAAACAATGAACTGAATTCACAAATCGAACATTAAGACTTACAATAATACCGACACATCACATCTCCTCTCTTTCTATAGATGCTCGATGACAGATATTTATAGAATTTTCCTGCGTTGGAAATAACTAGGAGTGATTTGGCGCGGGCCGAGGAGAGTGCGGCGGTCTTAGCGTCGCGCGGCAAAAGCAAATAACAGCGCGAACGTGCACCGAGCGGCCGCCCGCCCCGCCGGCGGCCTAAGTGCTCGCCTGGTCGCGTGTAAACCCGCCATCCATCACCGGCAAGCGCGATGCGCCCAACAGTGCGATTCAGCCACATCTCTTTAATTTCTTTTCGCGGTCATTTGATATGTTTGGGCACGGAGAGGCAGCGGGGGAGGCGGGGTCGGGGGTGGCCGGTGGTGCAGCCGGCGGGATGCGTCGGGCGGTCAGTGGTAGCGGCGGCCGGTGGGGTTTTTTTTTACGCTCATGGCTTTTTTGTTCAGTCTCGCCCGGGCGCCCCGCCCGCGCACCCCGCCGCCGCGCCGACCGAGCCGCGCTGCCGCTCGCGTCGCCCTGCGCTACCCGCCCCCGCCTCCTGCCTTCATCTCCGGCCCGATTGAGTCCTCGGGGCGTGTATACAACGCGGAAAAACAAGACGGTTAAGGATCGACGCATAGGCGTGGGACCAGGACAGCGGTTCTCGCGCACTGTCCATGCTGCCGTGCCGCCCAGTCGCGGTTGGTCCGAGGCCAACTCGTGCAATCAGCCCCCGCCTGCGGCCCGGCGCGTCCGCCGCCGGGCGCTGTCAAACGGTGCTCCGATGCAGAGCTAACATGAGAGAGAGGCTTGCCGAGTCCAGGGCAGGCGGCGCTTCGATGGCGCCGCGCGGACGAGCGGGGCAAGGGCGTGGTGGGGCGAGGGAAGTCAGAACGGGGAAGAGGGGAGAGGAAACCTCTTGTGTTGGGGCCAGCGCCTGTGATAGGTAAGCTTCCACTGCCACTAGGGGGCGCGGCGTTTTTGGGTGGGCTGCCGTTGAGAAGACACTGCCACACACCCAACACTTCTTGGACGATTCTCAGAAATATTCAAAGGGGAGTTCATTCAAAGGATCTAGTTATATTTCTCTTTCCTTAAGATTTGAGTACGTGAACTCATGGAAACAGAATAGAATGGTAGCACAACATGTTTTCACAGTTTCATTTACTTCTCAACAGAAAAATCAATCTGTATTACTATTAATATAATATTAATATAACAAATGTATTTATTAATTATAGTCAGTATATATTAAAT